AGTCCCAGCCTCAGTAGGGCTGCTTTAATTGATGAAAACAAAAAAATCCACTCAAATGCTGCAGACCCGACTTAAAAGTGGGATGTGGGGGGAGACAATCCTGCTTCTGCACCAGCCCTTGATGCTGAGCTGCCTGGCCTAGAAAGAGCCCCCTGGCTCCCCTTCTCCATGAAGGAAGCCACTGAACTCATGATGATCATAAAGCAAAGTGTTTCATTTATAATTCAGAGGCAGCTGGAAAGTGGTTTTTTAAAAAATGGCTGAGGTGGGCAAAGCAGAGCCTCTTGACATGGATATGCTCTCCAGCAGAGGACAGACAGACAGTCACACACGCACGCACGCACGCACGCGCGTGCACACACACACACACACACACACACACCACACACACACACACACACACACGGACGCATACACCCAAGTGCTGGTCCATGCACAGTCCTCCACCCCAAAGCCCGGTCCCCAGATGGCCTTGCTCAGCTGGAGATTCAATACAGGATGTCTTGTTTATTTGTTTGTTTGTTTATGAATAAATCAATGTATTTGCATTGAGTTGTATGTTTATAAATGCTGAGATCTCAAGAGTTTAAAATGGTGAATTCAGCCTAGGTTGAAAAGAGGTAATAGAGTCAAGGGAACATATGAAACGGGCCACCTCGTGGGAGGCTGTGGGGCCCTGACACGACTTGACACGGCTTACGGCCAACGGTCAAGGAAAACTTCTCCCCAAATGGGCTGCTCTTGCTCACCTTCGCAGCAGGAGCACACCCAGTGTACGTGGTTGGGACTGGAAAGACCCCCACCCCCACCCCACGCTTTAAACCATTTCCTTTTCCTTCCTAGCTTGAAAAAAATCTAGTCAGTGGCATAGGCTGAAAACATAAACTCTGGATTGCAAAACAAAGGTGGAAAAAGACACATTTTGCCCAAACACCATCTCTTTTTGTTTTGTTTGTGAACTTTCCCACATCCCTGCATGGCCTTCTGCATGCACACGTGAAGAGTTCTGGAAGAGTGCCTTCCGAGGAGACGGTGCGAAACGCTTCCAGCACTCAAGAACCGAGATCGATTACTCGGTGATGGGGGAGAGGAGGGCCTGCCCACCTTGTGATCTTAACTCAGGCCAGTTTTCTCCAGATATCGGTTTTACAAATTGTATATTCTATCCACCGGAGACTTCTAAAAACATTTTTAAAAGAAAAAAGAAACAACATGTGGCTTTTGCTATCTGAAGAATGACTTCTTGGCCACTTCCAAGACCTGTGGGCCCAGCCCCCCCCCCCACGGTGTCTGCACCCACCAAGAAGGCCCAGCAAGGTCAGCGGGACTCCTGCCGAATACATACGTAAGAGTTCAACCCTAGTTTTGCTGGAAATGTGTGAAGAGACAATCAGAGACCAGAGCTGGCCTTTTAGGCTCCCTCTTTCTCTCCTCTCTCTGGTCTGTTGGTTCCCTGTTGCAAGACAGATGCCCTTTGGGCCACCCGACCTTAGTGCCCCCCCGGTGAAGCGGCTGCCTCAGCTGGCAGTGCCAGGGAGAGGAGGAGGTGGGGAGCTCTCTGCTCTGGAGCCCTTGGTGCTTCCACAGCCCGTCTGCTTCTCGGACCGCCTCTCTCAGCCATGCCTGCCTCTAAGAGGACCATGCCCCCAGCATGGCTACCCATGACCACCCACCCACCCTCCCTCTGCCCTCAGGCTCTTTCTGTCTTACTCAGCTCAGGCAAAGTTGTCTGTTAATAATTCTAAAAACAGCAACAACAACTTCTACACAGGCGAACTATTTAAATATCTGTAAGCCAAGGAAAGAGCGAAGGGAAATTTAAATCTATCAGTCCAGGAGTCGGTCCCCTGGTCCTCCCGTCCCCCGATCTAAATGCTGCGGTTCTTGTGTGCCATCAAGCCATTTCCATCTGGTGGTGGGTGACCTAATGAATGAGTGACGTGCAAAATCTCCTGTCATTAACAGCCCTGCTCAGGTCTGGCAAAGCGAAGGCCATGCTTCCCATTATTTAGTCAATCCATCTCATGTTTGGTCTTCCTCTCTTCCTGCTGCCTTCCACTTTTCCAGCATTGTTGTCTTTTACACTGAGGCACTTTTACACAAACAAAGTTATCGAAGATATTAAAGAAACAGAGCCTTTCTGTACAGGTCTCCTCAGCTGCAGTCTGAGAAACCTGGCTCCGAGTAAATTTTGATCGCCTCTGAGAAGCCACCGCTTGTTTCCCCTGCAAAAGATGCACATAACTATCCCCACTGGGAAGTGTGAGGCCACAGAGATGGGACCGGCCAGGATGGGGAGGGAAGCCAGCCCAAGAGACATGCAAGCCCCCTCCTGCTGAGCCAGGAAGCCCTGAGGAAGCCCTCTGCTTCTCTCTCTCTCTCTCAGCACATGCACTCCCAGCGCCTGGAGACCTGCCAGGTCCAGTTTTTCTCAGCCCTGCTTCTGGTCAGAGCCGGTTCTGGAATGCAGTTCAGTCCGAGCCAGCTAAGGGTCCTGGGCGCTCCACCAGATCCCTAAGGGGGGGGGTAGCCGCTTTTAATGTCCCGGGGAGGGGGGAGGGAGTAGAGATGGCACCTTGACCTCAGACTTCTTTCTGAGAAATGTTCCCAGCTTGGCTCCTTCCAGGAACTGGGGGATGCCGGGCTGGGATGGGGCCACTTCCTCCTGTCTCTGCCCGTGAAAGGCGGTCAGGGGAGAGTGAGCCGAGAGTGGGACAATGCTGCCCTCCAGTGGCGCTGAGCACCCCCGGGCCCAACTTCCCAGCTCTGCTTGACCAGCCAAGGCCGCCTCTGATGTCACACCTGCCGGCACGGAGGCCACCGGGAAGCCGTTGCTGGGGCAGGCGATCTGGGTTCGAATTCCCGCTTGCCCATGGCACTCTTTGGGTGACCTTGGGCCAGTCACACGCCCTTGGCCCCTCCTCCTGGACAGGGTTACCGTGATGGTAAAACTGGGAAAGAGGAGAATCGCACAAACCACATAAGCCTCCGGGAGCTCCCTGGGAGGGAAATGGGATAAAAATGTAAGCAACCAAATCACTAGGGTAACAGACAACGTAAGGCAACCCCCCGCAAGGCCTGATGAAAATAGTTGGGGCTCTGTAGACCAGGTTCCAGAAGGAGCCTCTCCCCCACACCCATGTGCATGTCCCAGGTATTCTGCCAATGGCAGCACAGGAATGGGAAGGACCATTTCCAAGCATGGCGCTGGGCAGCAGCTGTCCCAGAGCCAAGCAGGGAGGAGGGCATGGATTGGCTTACCCAGGCGGGAGAAGGTCTCGGGCTGGCCTGGCACCTTGATGAGTTCTTTCTTCTCCTCTTGTTTCCTGCCTTGTTTGCAGGTTCTCTGAAGGAAGAAGTGGGTGATTCTCTCTGTCTGTTTGTGTGTGTAAGCATATCTTTTTGTGAGGGCTTCCAGCTCTGGTCATGTTCCCTGTGTCTATGTGCTTCAAAAGCATGCACATATGCTCACACATGCACACGCAAAGTTCTCAAGATGCTCAGTGGAATGCAAATTATTTGCGAAGTACGTAGGGGAAAATGTTTGCTTGTGTGTGTATGTTTTCCTCCACTGTTTTAAATCAGAATGTGGGGACCTGCACAGATTTCATGCGTGAATTCAGTGTCGTAGGCATAGATGGACTCACTGTGGCTTGCTAGTCCCTTCACAGTCTTGATCTGGCCCTGTCTGGGGTGATCCTGGTGGCCCATCTTTTTCTCTGCCCCAGTTTCCTCTCCCACACTGCACTCCACTCACTAATTGCTGTGGCTTTCTTCTGATTCCACCTTTCCCTTCCCACACCCATATCAAGTGGTTAAAGATGCACACACCCTAACTTTGCATTTTCAACACACTTTTTGGAAAAACTCAGGTATTATATAGGCTCACAATTGGACGTTGCTCTGTTCCCTGGAGCAATAAACCAGACAGAAGCTATTCTTAAAGTAAACTGATTATTATGAACAGCCTGTCCTAGATGCGGTAGAGGACCATTTCTCAGGGGCCAAAGAGAGGAGGGCATAGCCCAACTTCAAGAGGTAGTAATACCTGAAAGTCAGAATTGTCTGGGGGTAAGAAGGCAGGAGGTGGCAAACCTCCAGTTTTTCACAGGGCAAGAGGACAGCCACTGAAAAGGCAGACAAAGCCTGCCCTTACTTCCAGATTGCTCCATGAGACATTCATGGGGGGAGGTGCAGCTTCTCAAAGTCTTCCAACACAAGGTACTTGGGGTGAGAAAAGCTCTTCCAGTGTACTCAGACACTTTAAGCAGCTAAAGCACACCCTCCTCTAATGTTGGATCATCTGTAACTTCCGTCTCTGATTTAACATACTGCCACATTTTGTGACTGGATAGAGGGCCCCTCTCCACAAAAAAGGTGAAAGGTAGGAGTGAAGACCAAAAAAAGGTAGGAGTGAAGACCACACTCCATGGCTCAGCATTTATTTATTTTGGAAAGGCACAGCCCAACTGCATGAAGTGAATGAAGGCAGAGATCTCCGCATTCAATATGGGTAGATCCAGCACAAACTGGCCTCACCACAGACCCACATCTCAAGGAGGAGCAGGGACCTTGTTGTCTTGCAGAATAAAAAGAACCGGCAGGGGCCACATGAGGAGGAGGGGAGAAGGTCGCTCCTCCTTCTACAGCTCACCATCGGTCGGACAAGGCAGGAGAGATAATGCTATGCATAATTACAGAATGACAACTTACATCCCTCTTTAAATAAATGACGTCTCAAAAAGAGAGCAGAACAAATGCATCATCTATGATTTAGCGCCTCTTTTTCAAACCTTCAGCAAGCTCTGTGGTCTCCATGAAAGGGAACTCCCAGGCGGGGCTGCTCAGCTGCTGCAGGAAGGGTGGCCCCAAAGCTTCCTCAATGCACCTGAAAGGAGAGCCAGAGCCAGGAGTATCCCGGCATCTTCCAAGACCAGGTAAGCCACGGCTTCTCCAGCCTGCCTCCTTCCCTCCTCTCTCTCTCTCTCTCTCTTGGCTTCTCCAGCCTGCCTCCTTCCCTCCTGACTCTCTCTCTCTCTCTCTCTCTCTCATTCTCCATGTCTGTTCTTCTGATTCACGACCCTCGGGATCCTCTCATCAGTCAGCTTCTCCAAGGCCATTTTCGGTCTGCCCGGGGGGCAGCTATAGGGGATGCCACCATCCTGGGCACAGAGTAGTCATCCAGGCTTGGGTTGTAGGGGTACTCATAGCCCACGGGGTCCTCGGCAGTCGCTTGCAGCTTCCAGGCCTCCCCGTTGTACTCCTGGGGCTCATCATAAATAGCAGGGATGAGACTTTCTGGGTCATCGTAGACGTGATCCAGTCCAGCAGGGCCTGACCTGTGAGTTCTCCCGCAAGAGGCCGTTGGGCCGGGTGCCTCTTTGCCTCTGGGCAAGGGGTAGCTGCCACCCTCAGCGTTCCCAAAGGCCCCGGAGAGGGCATCAAAGGGTCGGGAATACTCCGATTCAGGGGCCGCTTTAGCCAGAGGGCCAGAGGCCTTCCGTGACCCCCCCTCAGCCCTCAGTTCAAGCTGGGGGCCTCGCTTGGGGAGGGACCCGGACAATTGCAGGGAGGGGTCCTTGGCACTGGTAGGCTTGGCCAGGCAGGCCCTCGCCGGCATCGTTTTCCAGACGGGCTCTGAGGAGAGGGTTTTGCTCAGCATGGTTTGGGAGGGGTTCTCCTGCTCCCGGGCTGGGCCTTGGTCTCCCTGGACACCGGCATCAAAGCTGGCCTGGCTGGCGGTGACTCCAGCAGAAAGGGTGGCAGCTCTTGAGGACGGGTCAGGAGAGCCAGCCGGCGGGGGCTCCTTCATCCCGGAGTCCCTCTGCACTTGGATGGCCTCTTCAATGACTCGGATGATCTCACTTCCCTGCTTGGTGGCAAACTCAAAGCTGCCTTCCCCAGAGTCGCACCTCCGCCCAGCTTCAAAGGAGAAGATGACCTGGTGGAAGAGAGACCAGCAGGCCGGAGCTTTGATCCAGGGGATCCGGTGGACCAGGCTCTCAAGCCCACAAGGGCCAGCAGAGGACAGGTGGGGGGGTGGGGGGGGAAGGGACCTCCCGCCCACCTGCAGAGATCCAGGGCCGGGATGGAGTGGGGGCTACAGGAAAAGACCAGGGCACGCCTGTCCCTTGGCGAGCAAATCCTTGTTTGCCTCGGCCGCACCCCTGCAGACCAGGAACCATGGCTTTCCTGGGGAGGGGCGACAGGAAGGTGTGGAATAAAGGCAGGCCTGGGATGCAGGTGCCCCCTCCCTCTTGGATCTCAGGCCTGGCCGGGCACCTGGCTTGTTATTCCATAGACCTTTACGTCCAGGCTGCACAAACAAGTTCCTCTCAGGTACCCAGGCAGGCAGGCAGGCAGGGAGGCACTACCAGGCCCTGGGTGTGGCTGACCCCCAAGCTCCCCGCTCTCTCTAACCCACCTGCTCCCCACCCCTCCCAACACAGGGGCCTCCAGGGCAACTTGGGAAGAGCTCCGGCCAAGCAACAGAAGTGGGGCCAAGCAAAGAGAGGGTGCGGCTAAGGGTGTGGGAGTGCAGGAAAGGTATTCACAAGGAGGATGACACACAACAGCCACCCCTGATGCAGAGGAATCTGTGGATTCGGCACCCGGGTGAAGCAAGCAGGAGCTGGACCTGCCTCCTCCATGTGGTCTCTCACACCCTGGAGGTGACCAGGACACAATGTGGCTGACAGAGCAGGGGTGGTCTTTGGCCATCTGGCTGCAAAACTCTGGATCCATCTGCCTGGTCGATTCCTTCCATGGAGGTGGTGGGTCAAATATGCCAGCCCCCCCCCCCAAGCAAGTAGGAGCCACTGCGACAGGGAGGCCCTTGAGCAAAGATGCCCACCCACCCCACCCCCAACTTTACCCATTTGTGGCAAGATTCTGCCGGCACACCATGGCTGTCCGAAATGGCTGCACCTCTGCTTTGCTTTGGTACTCAGCACCAAGGGCCCCCAACTGGGACAGACGGCCTCGTTCTCCCCCCTCCAGTCCTACTCCCTGTAAAGCTGACTATGGGTGGACAGGTGCAACAGCACTGGAAGGTAAATGATGGAGGAGGAGGAAGCACTGGTACCTTGTCGTGACCGAACCTCCGCAAGAACCTGTACGGCCAGGTGTAGAGCACGGCTCCCCCCGTCATGCCACGCAGCTCCAGGGCATCCGGTCTGACCACAAGAAAAAACCTGCCCCACAGGCGGATACGCTCGGAGGCGGGCGTCGCCCTCACCACCACGGGAAACTCCGTCTTGTCGCCTGCAGGGGAACAGCACACCATCGGGCAGCAGAACAAGGCCTGGCCAACGGAAGGCTGGGGTTGCCCTCCTGCTACCGGCACCGACCGGAGTCCCGACCAGTCAACAGCCCACGCAGGAAATGGTCACCAGCAGCAGCAGGAAGACTCTTGTGACAACTGCCAACAAAAGGGGCTTGGCTGAGGTCCCCCCCCCCACGCACACATGTCATGACGGGTGGTTTCTTGCACATCATGCAGAAACCAGACCCAGATTCCAGCGGTGGGTGGGAGGATGCCCAAAGGAAAGCAAGCAAGTGGGAAAGGACCGAGCGGAAGAGGCATCGCTGGTCCCTCTTGAACAAAGCACACCCAGGGACCAAGCCGTGCCTGATCCTGGGGGGGGGGCACTCCCTCTATCCTTCTCCCCCCCCCATACAGAAGGCAGGTCAGGCCAGGCCTGGGTTGCTTGCAGAGCAAAAGGCCAGTAGAAGCAGGCGACAGGGAGGAAACCAGCCGGCCTGATAAGCAGCCGGGGGCACATCAGGCCGCAGAGAGCTGCCGTTTATCTGCGCAGGGCCTGGGCCTCCAAAACCACAAGGCAGGAAGGCAGCCGACGGGCTCCTGCGGAGGCGAACTTTCCATCCTGCTTTGGTCAGAACAGAGAGCAAAGCTTGTGCCGTGGCCTTTGTGGAGGAAGAGGCTCAGCTCCAAGGGCCTTCCTTTGCAGCCTGGCTCCCAAGGCGCAGGGGACGTGCACCCAGCTCATATCCAGGTCCCCGATGGGAGAGAAGACCCAGGCGTAGCTCTCTGCTGGAGAAGCGCTCTCCAGCTGGATTTGGGCAAGTTGCCCTGAGAGCTGGAAGGCCTGGAGGCCGGTCCTTTCTCCTTGTCTTTCAGGCCTTGGGCAAGGGAGCCATAGGTATGTCCCCCCAAGGAACAAGAATACTGTGTTTTCCCTCCCTTTAGCCAAACCAAGCTTCCTGCTTCCTCCTCCTCTAGAACATTTGCACACTACACAGTTCTATCTCTTTGGGAGCACATCCAGGGCTGTGGCCCCAACCCACGCAATCCTGGGGTTTAGAGTTTAACAAGGGCCTTTCCATTCCCTGTCATGGTTCTGGGGAGTGGGCACTAAGAGCGCTCTAGCAGGCCATTCCAAGTCTCCCACTAGACTACAAATCCCAGGATTCCATAGGGCAGAGGCAGGGCAGGGAACATGCTATCAAACTGCTCTCAATGCATAGCAGAGGTACACTCGTGGCCTGAACAGCTGAGGGGCAGCGAGAGTCGATCTGCATTTTGCTCCCCTTTCCCGGCTGACCCAAACCCACAGGGAAAAAAAGCAGGTGGGTGCATGATCCTCCTGATGCGTCCATCTGGGTCTCCCTCTTTGCAGGTGGCACCTCCACCCCCTCCCCGGGAGGCCTCGCCTTCATGTGGACAGCTAAGAAGCCGGCCTGGACTAAAGCTCCCCCCGGGAGGCTCCGGGCTCTCCTCCTGCTGAAAGCCTTTTGGAGTGAGCTGTGCCTAGAACTCCAGTACGTTTAGTAAGCTAAAAGAGGGTGTGTTTGCTAATGTTCTTAAAACATCTGGCACTTTTAAAAGCAGCTGGAAATGCCTGAATCTCCCTCTCTTTAGGCCTTCAACACATGCATCACATTGGACATGGAAGTGAAGGTCCTCTCTGGACATCAGCTTCACCTACATGCTGATTGGTGAGCAGTGCCAAGGAGGCTCTGAGAAGAGAACAGCCGTGTCCCCACCACTGAGCGTGCCTGGCTCACCGGACGTCTCCAGGAGGGAAGGGCCGACCCCTCAGTGCTTTTCTGAAGCTGGCCAGGGCACCTGCCTCTCTTGCCTCTCTTAAAAGCCCGGGCCATGAAGTCTTTTGGTCGGTCTGCCCACCCTGTCCTCCACCCACAGGTAAGGGAGATGGACGTGGCCTCTCCTCGCCTGCCCGGCCTAGGGTCGCTTTTGCTTTCCTCTTACCTGTGCGGGTGGAGCTGTACAGGGGATTCTCTGCCATGTCCAAAGGCGGCGGCTGGCCTTTCAGGAGATCCTTCCCCAGCATCCCTTGCCAGACTTTATCATCCTTCTAGAAACCAAAGGGGAGAGGATCCGTCGTGAGCAGAAAGCCAGCGGGGAGGGCCTGCATTCAGCTCGGAGAGCTCGCTTTGAGCCCCTCGCTGCCTGGCATAAGGACCTGTAGAGAAGAGACTCGCGACAGACCGCCCTGCGGGGTTGCAGGGAGAGTCCCAGCTGGTTGGGAGGCTGCCCTGCTCTTCTCAAAGCCTGAGTCCTGTTTAACAGGGAAGGGGCCGACTCAGGGAAAGAGCTTGAAGACGCTCCTTCTTAAGACTGACACCCCAAATCCTGCAGCTGGCATGGCCAGGAGTTCTGGGTCAAAAACCTGGTCCAGTTCCCCCACTCTGGTCTCAGGGGTCTCTGTGAGGCTGTCCCACCCGACAGGAACAGTTCCAGACCAGTGGTTGGGGGCGGGGGAGTCCTCTGCCCTGCAGAGCGTACCTCACTTCTGTGGGATCCTGAGCAGGCCCTCTCTCCAAATGTTTTGCATATTTCGAGCATTTATCCCATTCCACTCCTCTCTACCCTCTTCACAATCCGGAGAACAATGGCACACAGTAGCCTACCCTCCATCTGTGGGTTGTGTGTGAAGTTTCTCTCCCTTTCAAAGAGATTGTTCATTTTACCCACAGGGGCTGCTTTTCTCCTCAACCTTCTAGGGCTGATACCTTCACCCTGAGCAGTGACAGTGTTTGCTGATATTCCACGACACCACAACAGCTCGTATCCTCATGAGAAGCACCCTCTATGGGATCAAGTGGCCTGTCAGATCCTCACCGCAAAGGCATGTTTGCACAGCTCCAGGATCCAGTCAGCCACATCGTCCGTCTGGGCTGCCAGCAGGTAACACTTCTCCGTGGTCTCAAGGAGGAAGGGAGTGGTCTCCTTAGGGCCGCTGACTTCGCCACAGGCCTTCTCCACATGCACACAGTCAAGGAGGCCAATGAGATGCCTCCTGCTCTTCTCTGCTTTCTTGGCTTTCTCTGTGGATGCAGGCCGAGAGCCCTCAAGGAGCTCCAGGTATGCTGAGGCACCAGTGCTCTCCTCATGCAACACACCCCAGAACTTCCTCCATTTCTAAAAAGAAAGAAGGCAAGCAAATGTTCATCAGTGCCATGGCCCCTTTACTTATTTATTTAAAATATTTTTACCCCACCTTTGTCCTTGAAAGGACCCCAGGCAGCTCCAGCATTGCATACTCTGCTCGCTCTGTGCCTGTTGCTCCATTCATTGAACTACTACAGTAAGTGATATTAAGCAACAATGCATTGGGAATCTTCTCTTCCCTTTTGACCTTGGAAGCCCACATTTTCAAATGAGGTAATCAGGAATGGCTCCAAGGAATATACATTTACTTAAAATGCAGTCCACTGATGTTTTCATTGGGACAATTTGATGCAAAAGATTTTGCTCATGCTAAGGGTTGGGAAGGAAGGAAGGAAGGAAGGAAGGAAGGAAGGAAGGAAGGAAGGAAGGAAGGAAGGAAGGAAGGAAGGAGAATAGTTTATACCCATTTAAGCTCTACACATTCTTTGTATATACTTACCACCCTACCTCAGCATAATCACATACTGGATATCCAAACCTGTTTTCTGGCTTGCATGATTTCTCATAACCCCAACAGGCGGAAGGAAGGAAGGAAGGAAGGAAGGAAGGAAGGAAGGTGGGCAGCAGAATTCTGTCTCCAGCAATGCCCATTCTCTAGACCCCATAAGCAAGCCGACTAGTCATAAAGGCAGGAGCTCTTAGTGCTGCATTTTGCCCATTTGCCCCCAGGGTTCCAGAGGTGGACTGTTTTGAGCAAGGAAATACTATTCTTTGTTACCACAGCTCTGACGTATCTGAACTTATTTAACCCACTTTGAAATATACCTTTGGAGTAGCTATCGTAATCTCCTCTGTTAATCAATTCCTTACACTTCATGAAGCACAAAAGATACCACTCTCCTCTTTGCACACTGATTTAGAACTGATCTGTCAGGTTTTGCTCCACTTTTCTGCCAGTACAACCAAAGCAGCATAATATAGCAAAATCATTTTTATGGAAACAATGGCCAAAATCCTCTTATGTAGTCCCAAAGGATCCGACACCTTCCTACCGGGTACAACTTCCCGGCTGCTGCATGGTGTGGTTAAAGCCACTAAAAGTAAGTGGAAGCTATTGTTTACCATCTTTGGCAATGTGGCTGAGCAGGTTTAGAAGAATGAACGTAGCTAAACTTTGTCATTGAAGTGACGGACATGAATTTGACCCAACTCCGGGAGGCAGTAGAAGACAGGAGGGCCTGGCGTGCTCTGGTCCATGGGGTCATGACGAGTCGGACATGACTTAATGACTAAACAACAACAAACTTTGCCATTCAGGACATATGAAAAATAATTTATCTATTAAAGAAAGCACTGCAGCAAGGCCAGTTCTAAAATGTGATAAAAGCAGGGTTCTCTTGTGGAGGTGCAATTGGATGCTTTGAGCCAAAGATAGAACTCTGAAAATGTTTTTGAGGCATCTCCAAAAAGGGAGGCAGCAAATTAGAGGTGAGCCCCCCTGAGCTAAATGAAGTCCCCCATGCCAGATCACCAGCAAAAGGTGGAGTTCAAGCAATAATTCTCACAGCCCCCTCTTTGTTTTGTTTTTACTCTTCTTATTGTTGTTGCTAAAGTCAGTTTTGACCTTTCCACAGTTTTCTAGGTCTAGAGAATTCAGAAATGATTCACCACTCCCTTCTCCTGAGGTTGCTCTGGGGCGACGGACAGTGCCGCTTGCCCAAGGCTACCCTGGCTGGCTCTTAACGGACAGTGCTGCTTGCCCAAGGCTACTCTGGCTGGCTCTTCTGAGATGCACAGTGGGGGACTGAACTCCCAACCTCTGACTCCACAGCCAGGTACCCAACTCAACTGACCTACCCAGACAGTCATTGAGCCTTACCTTCCCAAAAGTCTGCTGCTGCTGCAGGTAGAGGAAGCCTTCCTTCACCACGGCCCCTTCCATCTTCCTGCAGGAGGCTGAATGTTGTCCCCACTGTCGCTCTACAGCCCTCTTTCTCCAGTCTTGTCTCTCTCTCTTCTTGTCTCCCTGTCTATCTGTGTGCACTCACACTGCCTCTCCACAGCCTCTCTTCTTTCTTCCCCCTTGCCCCCACCTTTCCTGTCTTTCAGCAAAGCATGCTTCACATCTCAGCTTCCTGGAGCTGCGGTATTGCCCAGAAACTAAAAAAGAGAGACACATGTGCAAGCAGACGCCCACTCCATGGGTATATGGAAGCAACCAACAGGCAAAGGGGGCTGGCCCTCTGGAAGGAGGTCCCATCGCCAACAGAAGGCAACTGATACTGCAAGACAATACTAAAGGTAAAGGCAAAAATCCTTGAGGGTTGAATTCAGACTCTGATAAGGCGTCTGACAAATAATCAGCGGTGCTCTTGGCCACATCAACTTGGGCCCTGAACCTCTGCCTGCCACTATCATGGGAAACAAGAAAAAGGCTGCAACTTTTCATCTCCTTTTCCGCACAGAATAGTGTTAGGATGTGGTGCAACCCTTTCAGAAAGTATTACAAAGGCTAAATTGTAAATAGATATGTAGGTAAAGGATGTTTCATGCTATACACCTTTGGTGCTTTGCAAATGGACCTGCTTGCAAGCTTCTGACAGCAGAACTGGAAAGAATTTGCAGGCTTTGGGGGTCTCTCTTGTGAACAAGTTTGTGAAGCTGCAGATGAATACATGTAGAACTTCTTGTGTAAGAGAAGTCTTTACATTTGACTGTCATCCCCTATGAAAATGGCAGCAAACATATAAAACACTCAAACTTTCAGGTTAGATGCTGCAGTTTCTGTGAAAGGAAAACCCAAATTAAGAGGAGAGGAATTCACTTCCGTTTCCTCCTCCCTGTTGCTTGGAGATCTGGGGCAATCTGAAAGCAAATGGGCCAATCTGAAGTGTTCCTAGCCCAGCCAACTAGAGAGAGCCAGAATAATAGGCGAACGGATTACGGAGTTAAGCTACAGTATTTGGATTCCAGGTAAAGGATTATTTTAAATAATACATCAAAATGGTGTTATGGAGAAGGCAACTGTCAAAGTCATGATTCCTTCCCTGGAGCACATCAGTTGGATTGTCATTAAGTCGTGTCCGACTCTTCGTGACCCCATGGACCACAGCACGCCAGGCCCTCCTGTCTTCTACTGCCTCTCAGAGTTTGGTCAAATTCATGTTGGAGAGCCTGTCCTAAATCACGTCTCAGGATCAGAACGCTGACATCTCCCTCCCTCCCTGTCCCTAATGTAGCTTGTTTTGCAGAGAAAAGGTAGTAATTTGGGGAGCTGACTCGCTCTCTTTTCCACCAGTGAAGCTTGAGTTGTTGTATATCAATAGCTCTGCCAGCTTTACCAAAATGCTCTCCTTTCAGAAAAGATCTGCGTAGAAGAAGGAAGGGCACTCTCCACCTTTCCAAAGGACCAGGTTTTGGAAAGATGGTATCCTTCCCTCCCCATCCATGGGCGCACCTGTGGCTCTTGCCGGTCTTCATGGCTGAGAGCCGGAGCCCAGGCCTTGGGAGAAGGCCAAGGGAGGGGGTGCCGCTGCCAGCTGGGTGGCTCTGAGAGAGAGAGAGAACGGGGCCATGGAGGGTGGCGGCTGCCCTCCCCCCCCCACAGCCTGCCGCCTGCCCTTCCTGGTATTCCACCTTGCTTGGTGGCGGGTTAGGGTGAGGCGCTGCCCCGCAGCTGCCAAGGGCTCATCAGCTCCTGCACCCAACAGCTCCATTACTGGGGGGAGGGGGTCCCTTTGGCTGCCCCGGCCGCCCCGGAGGGGGTGCCAGGATTAATGGCTGGGCGAGGGGCCTGGGAAGGCTTTCTTCAAGAGCCACCTCCCCTGATGTACAGCAGAGAAGGCCAAGGGTCACCTCCCAAGCACAGGCCTTGGCACAGAGAGGGGACCAGGGGGCTGCGGCTCTGCCTCTGCTCCTGCAGCTGGAGAGTCCTGGGGAAGGGACCCCGCCCGGGGCCACCCTGGACGAGTCCTCCCCCTCCCCAGTAACTCCCCCGTCTCTTGGGAGGGAGGGACAGAAAAGGCCCTGCCAGTGCAACGGCCGTGCCAAGGTCGAGGCACTCGAAGCCTTTCGCCCCCACCCTCCCACCCTGATTCTCAGACCACCAGCTCTTGTCTCAGGGCGCGCGCGAGGGGGATCTCCGGCAGAGGCAGCCCTCGAGCACGGCCAGCGCAGCCTCCGGGCCCTCTCGTGCCCCGCCTGTACAGGTAGACTGCTCCTGGCCCCGGGAGCCCCCTTTCCCCGAGGCGCGGCCCCTTTAAGAGCCATGTAAACAAAGCCCGGCTCCCCCTCCCGCGCGCGTGCCGACGTCGCTCCTGCGCGACCGCCTGGCTTACGCCGCCGGAGCGGGCGGCGCCATTCT